TTTCCAACAGGGAATTCCCACTAGAGGGGGTGTTCCAGTTTAAATTTACGACTTGTAAGTGGGAAATTCCTAACTCCCAGAATGACTAGATTGCAGCAAAGCTAGTTCGTAAAAATGCAGAGAAAATAAAACTTTATACAGTGAATTATGCCGGCTGCCAGCTACTGGCTTCTTTTGCATTCAATAAGATGTAGTTTATTGTCATTACTTTTTATTTTAGACATTAAAAAGTAGATACAGTTCTCGTGGGCCACATAAAATGCCGGGGAAGGTCAGATTTGGTCTGTGGGCCTTGAATTTGACACGTGTTTGAACTGAAAAGTTTATCAGCTCCAACTTATTTGTTATTTTTTATTTTATTTTATTTTTTTAAATTTTGCAACTGTAAAGCCTGTATATTTGTTTTGATCTAGTCAGAGGGGCTGCAGGTCTATAAGGAAGGGTAGCCACCTTGTTCTAAACAAGAGAAATGTGCTTTTTAAATCATTGTGTAATGTTTATGTTCTAAATTTAAAAATACTTGGTGTCGTTACTCGGTATCAGCAAGTACCCAAATTGAAGTATTTGTACTCTTACTCAGTTTAAGAAAAACTGGTTTGTGACATCGCTACTTTTCTGCTAAAACAACCATTAACCGAAATAACGTGCTAAAATAAGATGACTGATTATTCCAGCTGGCATTCAGCTCCATTGTTTTGGTACATTTGCCTTTTTAAATTAGCTTTTACATAAAAACATTTATAAATTTGTTGTGTTGGTACTTTGTTGTAACAAATCGTCCTCAATGTGCAACACATCTGGGTTCCAGAATAACAGCCGAGCTGAACTCTTTTTAAAGTATATTTCAACAAACAGGGAGGATAGTMTCTAGACCACAATGCATTGCAAAACACTGATTCTGAGCTCAAGCATTAACTGTAAAATGATCATTGGATAGTTAATCTAGCTGGTCTGTAAGGCATTGAGATCTTTTCCAGATGATGTAATGAAGATTTTTATTAGTATAGTGTGATCTGTGCTGACAGCTTGGCATTAAGGTTTTTTTCTCCCTGATCTTACAGTGTAGTTGCTCTGTTTCTAAATTTAATGCCACACAGGCCTGTTTCAGCTGCAGAGATGAAATGTAGCATCAGCAGCTATGGACGTATGTGTAGCTGCGGCCCTGCGGGAGAATCTGGGAGCTTTTTATCGCCTTCTCGAGCTGTTGAGCTGAAATAATGCCTCTCCTGTTATCCCCATCACTGACGCGCACCCTGCAGGTCTGAGGGGATATCCTGCTGGTGAAATAAACGCATTCATCCTGCTCGTGGTGGTTTTGGTGACACAAGATTTACAAAATGTTTCACACGTCTCCACTCACCTCCGTCTCTGCTCTCTAATGGTCCTTAGATCCTCTGTTATTTCAGAAAACAGGGAATCCTTAAATATGGTGCCAGCTTGAGTAAAGTTATTGCATTAGACTAAAATCAGCAGAGTAAATCTTCCACTGCACTTGCTGCAATCAAAACAAAAATAAGCCAAGCTCATTTCAGTAAACTCAATGTTTCACTGGAATTATTATTATTATTATCATTTCTTAAAGTGTAAAAATGATTTCTTTAAGTTTTCTTTAACATGGTTCATCTTTTGGGCACAAATTCAATTACAGTTATTTTGTTTTTAACACCGTCACTCTAACTTCAGCCTTTAAATGAAACGAACGGCCTACATGCTTCAACAAGACGACGGTTTAGAAAGCTGATTTCTCAACATCCAACTCAATGACTTAAGCAAAGTTATAAAACCACTGTGAAACAATTCTGTGGGCTGAGTAAAGGAGGAACCATTAAGTAGCTGAAGTAATTCAAAACATCCACTGACCATAATACACTGTGTGGTTTTTGATTTCTGGAAAAGTGAAGTACTTAAAAACAATTGAATTTGAAAAATTTCATCCTCCTCTTCATTCCTTCCCTCCTCTGTGGCAACAGGCTCCACGGTGGGACGAAAATACCCTGACAAATGCACATTAAGCATCTCTTCTTAAAAACTATACGGAGGCTGTCTCCTGCTATCACAGCTTGCTCCTTTTGTCTGACCCAAACCACAGTTGTGGTGAAGCTCCTGTCAAACCTCCTACAGCAACGACACTGACATCAGAAACCAGAGGAAGCCTGGTTTACAGGCCACCCACGTTTTTCCAGGGGTCTAAAGGGCCAGAGAAAGTATATTTTGGACAAGTCTCTGAACTACCCTCCATTTCCTATTATTAATTTTACGCAGGCGACCCACCTCTGTTCTGTAAATCAAACCTGCGGTTTGCAGACTCCTCTCTCTCTTCTTTCTGAGTTCTGCTCATTGTCTTTCCTGTTCCAGGACATTGTTCTTGTCACTTATAATGAAGCATAAGTGATAAATCAATTAAATGAGGTCGATAATTCGAAATTCATTTGCCTTCTTCTTTGTTTTCTTCGTCTCCCTCTTTTCTACTCTTTAGCCAGGGGATTCTGATGTTATCAGTCCATGAAATGGACGTTATTAGGCGTTATCAGTCCCATACAATGGTTTCAGAGTGTCCCTACTGTGCCTTTTAGACTTCAGACTGTCCCGACAGTGCCCACTAGTGGGTTAATCTATCAATGACAATGAATGTGTAAATAACCAAAAGATAGTGTAATAAATTATTTGTGCCTGTGTTGGTCTCGAACCCTCCCRCYCTCTGGTCSAACACWCTACCCATTGCCCTATTGGAAGGCTACAATATACAAGCGTTGGAGGGTGGGGTCTTTGGCGCTAACCATGTCATTTGCTCTAAAGTTAAACTTAGTGGCTTTAAGCCTCATATTAACCAGTTTTTTATGCCTCATATTAACCAGCTGACAATCGGAAGCCATTCTATGGGACGGGGAACCTGCTAACGGGCACAGGTGGGACATTCTGAAGCCATTCTATGGGACTGATAAYGCCTAATAACGTCCATTTCATGGATGATAACATCCGAAGCGGGTGCTTTAGCGTAGGGAGGAGTGAACTGTCACATCAGGTATTCACCAGGTGCCTCGTGAACAGACCTTTAGCTAGAGGAGCGTCTTCGGTTTTCCAACACCTTCTTTCAGCTGGCGATGACTCAGGACGCCCTCAGAACCTTGGATTTGCAGGAAGTTTTTTTGTACACTTTAAATTGCGTAAACAGCATGAGGGTGACCGCAAATCTTTTATGAAGCCAGAGGAAGACACGGGATAAATTGAGTCGGCTTGGATAGAGGAGGTGGGTAGCGATGGTACGACTTCAGCAGCTGTTTGTTGTTTGACCAATCTCCAGTCCAGGTCAGTTCGTAACTTTTTATAAATTTCATAATCTTCTGTAAACTTCATAAGCTCAAAGCAAATGTGCGCCGGGSAGGTCCACACAAAGATCAGTTTTTATGTTCACATCCTCTGTGTCGCACATTCAACTGKTTTGTGTGCCACACCAAGCAGATAAGAGTTGAGAATTGGTGCCATGTTGGGGACAAAATGGAGTCGAATTTTGAAGACTGTCTCATGGAGGGTATTAGAAAACATAAAAACTTATATGATACATCAGTTTAAGAATATAAGGACTTTCAGAAAGCAATTTGTGGGAGGAAATAGCTCAGACCCTGGGTAAGGTGAGTACCGCCCACGGTACATTCCCGGTTTGTGGTTACTTCCTCCCTCTTTATAGCCTACCAGGGACTTTGAATTTTCATAATAGGCTGTTTAAACGATTYGATTGGTTGTCTTCTTTTCATTGACACCTCTTTTGATCAACTGGGTTCACCTAGAAGGAATTTATTAGTTAGATACTGATTTAAAACACCACACCATTTGTCTTAGTTTCCTTTTTAAGGGTTTACTTTTATAATCTATTGTTTGACTATTGTAATGTCCTGATTAAAATAGTTTTAGGTACATGCCCAAAACATCATGACAACACATAGAAATACCGTTATAAATTCATTAGGAATGATATTTTCTGTACGAGTTGCCTGCGATTCAGCCGTAGGCCTGTAGTGGGCGTACCAGGCACTGAAGACCATGTACTTATAGCCGGGACTTTCGGTTTTCTGGCCAGCGTTGGTTTCCTGCTTGCACAGACAGCAATAAACCGGCGTTCACTCCAGTCACTGGTGTTGTATGGTCCATTCTCTTCACATTTTAATCTATTCAACATTTATGTGGTTTTGTCTCGATTTCAGTTAACAAACACTAAATTTTCTTACAGACTCTCCAGAACAMAAAATGTGAGGCAAGCCCCTCATGTCTCACCTGGTACATGTGATTGATTGAACTGGCCAATCAGCTCTGAGCTTCATTCTGACACCACAGCAGTGTGGCCAATCAAGTTACCTTTTATTCGAYATGCTGTTTTGGAAATTTTAAAAAAAGTTAATCGCAATAGTGTATTTAAGTTCAATAACTAAATTCTAGTTGATTGATCATTATGTTAGTTTAAAAGGGTCTCCAAACGATAATTTTGTTTCATCGCAATCATTATCGTCCAGCAAAATTTGTCATCGTATCAGGCCTACTTAGAATACTGCATGGATTAAAAGGGTCTTTTGTATTTAATTCATGGAGCTTAAAAGAATTTGCCTTTTAAGAGCGCAGCCTGGCACACAATTCATGAATCGTTTAAAGTGAATGAAGCGCGTCTTTGTTGCTCACATTAAAGCAGGGTGGTCAGCTGTTGATCTACGCACAGATCAGCGTGTGCCAGTAAAAACCGTATTCCCTCAGTGTCCCTGCCATTGTAAGCACTCATGACTCAAAATAGACACTTTTATTCTGACAATTTGAAACTGCAGCGCGGCTGATTAATCCTCCTGCAGCGTTAAAGAGATCTGCATTTGAGGCATTTCCATTCAGTCCACCATTTAAACAAATATTTAAAGCAGAAACCACACAGGGAATATCAGATAGATCATTTTTAAAACACAGTGAGCCTTTTCATCCCCTCCCACCATTTCTTTTTTTTTAACTATTGTGTGTGCTAATACCTTTTGCAAAAACTGTCCCCCCGCAGTGTTTCCAGCAACAGTTTGTGAAAGCTCAAGCGGTCCGTGGAGTCTGTCATTTTGAATGTTCTGGCGTGCTCGTTGTGAGGATGTGGCAGCTCCAGCTGTGATCCGTTTACTCACCTGGAGTCTGTCAGAACACACAAAGTTACAGTATGTTATATCACAAGATGCTGAACACATTTAGCAATGACGTAAAGCAGGGTCACTTCCAACAGCAGCGTGTTACATGATGTGTGCTGCCCAACCTTTAGGTAGCACTTTTCATCATTAGTGTGTTTGCTTTAGATATTATGTGAACAATTCAACTTCAAAGTCAATTAGCAGTGATCCTGCTGCTTTTTTTTATTCTTTTGTAAAAGTTAATAATGAGTACATCCATGTGACTTGAGTTATGTGTTTTAATCCAGAATAAACGCTCCTCCTCTGCGGTCCACAAAGTTGTCCACCTTTTTTCTTGATTTGAGGGACAAACCCCATTTACCCTTCTCAGCACAACCTATCCCAAGATGCATTGCAGACCAAATGGTAAATTATTTGGCTGGTAATGGTGGACAAAGCAAGAGAAATGAGCAGAAGTATATTCAATTCAATTCAATTCAATTCAATTCAATTCAATTCAA